TCTAAATTTACTTTCACAAATAAGTTTACTGTTTGTGTTAAAAAAAATGCATCATCATCATAGGGCATAAAAGGGAAGCGCTTGAGGAACAACAAAGGAAAATTGGTTCACGGCCTAGATCAAACGCTTCTTCTGGTACGTTCTCATTCTCATCTTTCATCCCTTAGTCTCCGTCGATCCTCGATTTTCAATCTCCAGTTTCTCATCAATTTGATTTTTTTGGATTCAATCGAGAGCTTGCTTGCTACCTCGAATGTCGAAATCTCTCGGTTTCTTCTCCTCTTCTCATGAACTTATATAGTCCCTGATCTGATTCCGCAATGCTCCGTAAATTTGATCTGTATTTCTTCTTCTTCTTCTGTGTGTGATCCGTATTTTAGCCTGGACCCTAAGCTTGTTTCGATTGCGGAGTGCGATCTCCTCTCGACGCTCTAATCTCTGAGCTCTGGGTTATCCATTCTGATCTTATCGTTCGAAGCTCTTTGCAATGGTGGTCTGCAAATGCAGAAAGGTATGTCTATCATTTGGTGATCTTTGGAAGGCTTTCCTTGTCAAATCGGAGTGTTCGTGATTTCTGAGTTTTTTGAGTTATAATCTGAGATAATTTACCGATTTGTTTTGCATGTGTATCTTGTTGCGACGTTTCCTCTTAATTTGATGCATTTTTTATCTGGATTTGTTTTTTTTTTTATTTGTTTGTAAATTTTGTTCTGCTTAGCTTCTGTTGGAGAGCTCATCCATCAAGCCAATGCTAATGTTTTCAGTTTTCTTGGTTTTTTCAGGCTACCAAGCTGTATTGCTTTGTTCACAAGGTCCCTGTTTGCGGTGAATGCATTTGCTTCCCGGAGCATCAAACTTGTGTGGTATGTTAATCAAATCGTATGCTTATTGTAACCGCGAGCTGATAGTTTTCTAGTGGAATTAGTCTCTTGTTGTTCGGAATGTGGTGTCCTTGTGGAAATAGCTAAATTATATGGAAGCTATGGCTGCTTTTGTTCACAGAAGTGCTTAATTTATGGATATATGTGGTAATATACCTGACGCTTTAGAGAACTCGATACTTCGCAGAGTTGAAGCTCCGACTCTGATGCTATCAGTAGAGCTGTTTAATAGTGTTTATTTTCTTTAGAAAGAGATTTATTCATGTTAATTTCACACTGGTTCAACTTAACAGACACACGATAAACATTAGTGGCAGCAAGATCGATTTCTCGGGGAATCTTTATCATATCTATCTAAGCTCAACAGAAACATGTGTGCACAATCCCTCTGATCTATTTTATAGTCTTTCTGCAGCCATTTTCCTCCATTTGTAGTTGAACAATGTTCAGAATTTTTTATTTGTCTGCTTTTTGCTGCTTCATGGTTGACATGGAGGGACAATGCTGAAAGATGTTTAAACCATGTCGTAATCAATAGGTCCGGACGTATTCAGAATGGGTGATAGATGGAGAGTATGACCAGCCAAAGTGTTGTCAATGCCAAGCAGCATTTGATGAAGGGGGAGGTCATCAAGTCACTCGGTTGGGTTGCTTGCGTATGTTAACTGACTCTTACCATTGTTGAATTGGATTTTTATTTCTGAATCTCTACAACTAAATAAAAAGAACTATCTTAACCTTCTATTGTATCAGATGCTATACATACAAGTTGCTTGGTTTCGCTTATCAAGAGTTTTCCTCCTCATACTGCACCTGCTGGTTATGTGTGCCCATCTTGTAGCACCCCTGTAAGCCCTATTGATTTTTATTAAATTATTAGAAAAAAGTCTTTTGTGTTCCTGTTTCTATCGCATTGTTTTCCTTGCATGTTGATATATCATGGGATTTCTTGTTTGGTGTCTCATTGATACATGGATTTAGAAATTCATTCGAGTTTTGTGTGATTTCATGTGTTTCTCTATAGCATAATGAGCACTGGATCAGTAGTGTTTTTGCTCTCTGACCTTAGAAAATTTTTTAAGACTATATGCGTGTGGAGACCCATGCGTAACGTTGGGCATAACGTTTTGGGCATAACGTTGAGATTTAAATTTTGTATTCCTTTCTTTGCTCGGGCAGTAGTTGTACATGTAGCTTACGCCTTGTAGTACAGACAAACCTTGGAGAAGTAATTAAAAGTAACGTATCAGATGATAGATAATGCATGCTCTCAAGTTATTAAAGTTCGGTTGACTTTTAGCTGCTTCCTATGTTCTGGTGTGTAATACTGCACTCTATGCTGTAATATACCAGAGGTAGCTATCTAGAGTATTTTGGATCCTCAGAGTTTGAGTTGATGCCATCCCGATTATGCCATTCCTCTCTTTCCGTC